CCGCACCAACATCCACAACAGCCGCACCAATAACCACGACTGCAGCTCCAACAAACACAACATCAGCTCCAACAAACACAACAGCAGCTCCAACAACCACAACTACAGTTCCAACATCAATAACCACCACACCAACAACCATAACAGCCGCAACAACAACGAGAACTTCAGCTCCACCAACCACAGCACCTGCTCCAAAAACCACAACTACAGTTCCAACATCAATAACCACCGCACCAACAACCATTACTGCAGCTCCAACAAACAGAACAGCAACACCAACAACCACAGCTCCAACAACCAGAACAGCATCTCTGACAACCATAACAGCCGCAACAACAACCACGACTGCACCTCCAACAGTGACGGCCCCTTCCCCATCAACCACCAAAACCCCGCCCTCCACCACTGACCTTCCATTCACCATGACCTCGCCTTCATCAACCACAACAGCAGTTCAAAACACAACAATCCCTCCAACAACTGGCAGGGATACAGTAATGAGATATGTCACATTCAGATCACTTCAGAGCAAATTTGAAACAGACTTGTTGAATTCATCATCTGCAGCCTTTACAAGTCGATCTTTAGTGATAAAGACACAGGTCAGTAACTGTTTTTCCCAAAATCCTTTGTGAAATTAATTTCCTCTTAGTATTAGGTTAATGCCCTTTAATAAATTAAAAAAATACAACAGAAAAAATAGTTTTAAGAAAATCTCTTTTGTGTGTGTAGATTGAACCTGTTTACAGAAAGGCCTTCCCCTTTTCCTTTGTCTCCTTGGATGTGGTGAGCTTCAGGTAATTTACATATTTTGACATATCATGTAGGGCACTGATCTAAAAAGCTAATATTCAAAACAATAACTTGTGCTTCTGCATTTGCAGGAAGGGATCAGTCATCAACACCATGGAACTTCAGTTTGTAAACTTTTCTGTCCCAAATTACACTGATATTAGGAATGTTTTGATCGGTCAAGCCTCAAATGTGAGCGGCTTTGACATCGAAAGGGCCTCCATCAACATCAGTGACACTGCTCCAACAACAGCCACTCCACTAGAAACAACTGCAACTACAACAACAGTTGCAGCAACTCCAACCACTATCCCAACTACAAAAGCACCAACTGGACCTGTCCAAATTACTCTGTTTCTACAGTTCCTTGAACCATATGTACCTGATCTCGAAGACCCCAACAGCAGT